GACAGGGTTTCTCTGTGTAGCTTTGTGCCTTTCCTGGAACTCACTTGGTAGCCCAGGCCGGCCTCGAACTCACAGAGATCCGCCTGGCTCTGCCTCCCGAGTGCTGGGATTAAAGGCGTGCGCCACCACCGCCCGGCACTAATACTTCTTTTAATAACTCTCTTACCCCAAAAGACAAACCTAAGTGTCCCCCCTTGAGCCACTCCCAGCCTTTCACCCTTCATCTGGAAATTGTATGCTGTGTGTGTGTGTGTGTGTGTGTGTGTGTGTGTGTGTGTGTGTGTGTGTGTGTGGTTTGTTTGTCTGTATGCTGTGTGGTGTGTGAGTGTGTGTGTGGTTTGTTTGGCTGTATGCTGTGGTGTGTGTGTGTGTGTGTAGTTTGTTTGGCTGAATGCTGTGTGTGTGTGTGTGTGTGTGTGTGTGTGTGTGTGTGTGTGAGTGTGTGTGTGGTTTGTTTCACTATGTTGGGGCTGGAACTCAGGCCCTCCTAATGTTAAGCTGTCCTCCATCACTGAGCTACGTCCTCAGCCTAAGGTTCTGTAACTGATTCCTTATCATGGCAGAGGGTACCAGGGTGGCGGAAGTGGTTTAGAAACCCTGCAGGTGGAAGCATGCTGGGCTCGGCCTCTGGTGGATGAGGAAGGATGGCATCCCCCACCTCTCAGGAGCAAGTCCGTGTGTTTCCCATGTGCTGGTGGGTGTGAGTGCCAGTCCTTCTTTGACCCTGTGGTAGGTGTTACTCCTTCTCCTTTATTCATGAACTGTTCATCTAGCACCAGTGGTGTGCCAGGCACTGTACTGGGCATGAACAGAGGAATAAGACCTGTCCGTGCTCTTAGGGAGCTTGATGCCATGTTGACAGATGTTCAGAGAGATAAAGCCTGGGGTTGTTGGTTAAGGTGTTACAGACAGCTATGGGAGCCTAAGGGCGTTTGCTTTTGAGGGTCTGAGAGGAAGGAAGGAAGGAAGGAAGGAAGTTTTGCTTTTCTTACCAATTCTTGTACCCCTAGAGCTCTGGACAGTCTAGGCTCAGAGCAGCTGCTGGGTGGCCTGTGCTGCTCACGGGTCCCTGCCCCAGCCTTCCCCTGATCTTGATATTCAAGAAGCTAGCATAACCCTGGAGGAGGTGTTCCATCAGATAAACCAGGGCCACTCGGGTTTCTCCTAACTGCCAGGGCTTGTGCCACCTGAGATGGCTGGGTCCTCCCTGCTGAGGCACCTCAGGGAGCCTGTGTAGGGGCTGGATGGGAGCCAGGGCCAGATCAGGGTGGCCCCAATCACCTTCCGTGACTCAGCCTCATCCCACCCTTTCCAGATGAATCAGAATCTCCTGGAGGGGGGGACCAGGAATCTAGCTGTTGAATGCTTCCTCAAGGCTCCAAACACAGGCCCAGTGGGGGAAGCCCAGGAGACTGTCTTCTGCTGCCTTCCATCCTGAGGTGGGGACAAGGGGATGGTTATGTCCCGATACAGCAGAGTGGGAGTGGAGCCTTCCATGGCTTGCCCATGGAATGGATAATCTTCCCTTTGGGGACTTCGGTTGTTGTCTTCTCAGAACTGTTGTGTTTTTCGACAGGGTCTCATGTAATCTGGCCTTGTAGCTGAAAGCAACCATTAACTGCTGATTCTGCTGCCACTTCCCAAATGCTAGGATTTACGGGCATGTCCCACCATGCCTGACTCTTCTCCTATATTTACATCATTTCTAGGTTCCATGTAATACCTAATGCAGTGTAAACCTATGTAAATAGGGCTGTCTAGATGGCTCCGTGGCTAAAGGAACTTGTTATCAAACCTCACAATCCTAGTTTGGTCCCCAGGACCTACATGGTAGGAAGGAGCTGCCTCCTGTAAATTGTCCTCTAACCTCCACAAGAGTGCCATGGTGTGCACAGACACCCTAAATAAATAAACGTAATTTTTTTAAATGGGGGGGGATTGCTGGGGCGATAGCTAATCTGTTGAGAGCAGTTAGCGCTTTTGCAGAGGACTTGGGTTCAGTTCCCAGCACTTACATCATGACTTACTCACGAAGTTCCAGGGGGATCTGGCGCCCTCTTCTGGCCTCTGTGGCGCACATACAAGCAAGCAAACACTCATAAGCTTTTTTTCAAAGATAATTTGTAACTGAAAATAAATAACATAAATAGTAGACTGCATTGTGTAAGGCATAATGACAAGGAAGAAAAGATGTAGATGTTCAGTACAGAAGCAGTTTTTCCCCCAAAATTCCCCATTGGGAATTTCTCGAATCTGCAGATAGTGAACCCACAGACACACCAATCTTTGAGCAGCTGAGATGATGAAGATCCATTTTACCCTGGCCCTACTCTGTGGCACCATCCTTTTCCTGGGATAGAAGCATAATCTCTTTTGCTTGATTCAGCAAAGAAAGCCGTGGAGTGAGATGACTGAGTTGTATAACTGCTCAGTGTTTGCTACTACTGTTTGCTACTAGTCCTTGGAGTATAGGGGAGCCTAGAATCCTGAGAAGGGGCAAGAGACGTGCTAAGCCCCAGTTGTAAGAAGTAATGGGTGGACCACTGTCTGTGTGTCCCTCTGGGACAGGGACCTGCACTATTCCAACAGAGAGACTGTCATATGGCAGTTTGGTATCAGAGTGGAGCCAATGGTGGGCAGAGGAGCAGCCAGGCATGGGAGATGAGCAGAAAGAGAAATTAGCATTTGCTGTGTAGCTAGTATATTTTCAGGTAGTTAGTACAGCATAATTGAGACTAAACTGTCAGATGCAGTCTGTGGTCCCAGCATTCAAAGATTAACCGTTACTAGGCTGGGTGTGGTCGTGTGGCTCAATGGTAGAGTGCTTGCCTAGCATGCAGCAACCTTGAGTTCCATATCCAGCTCTGAGAAAATGAAAATTTCCCACTGTTATGATTCTGTGGATATGATGGGGATGTGGCTCGGGTCTTAGAGGCTTGCCGACTGGTGCACTGAATACGCCTGGCAGACGTCCAATACTTGCAGTCTTTGCACCCAGGAAATGAAGACAAGAACCTCAGGAGTTCAAGGTCAGCTTCAGCTACATAGCACTGGGACAGCATGGGCTCTATGGGGCCAAAACTCCAAACTGAAACAGTGAGCTCCCTGATTTCTTTAACCAGAGTTTACACTGTACCTCTTATAATACCATACATACATTCATGCATAGTTAGTTACCTAGAACCCAGTAGAAGACTCCCAGATCTCCAGTTCGTCTGTCTTTCTTTTTCCTGAGAGGAACTTTAAAGCCAACTTTTAAACTATTATAGACAGGTAATACAATGGAAACATTAGGCAGAATTGTAAATGAAAATCAAAACCCTGGAAAGGCTCCCACTGTTGTTATTTGCCCATGTTTCCTTCCTGTGCTTGTCCAGGGCAAGTCATAGTTTTGCTGAGTATCCAGGCACGGGTCTAATTTTGTGTTGTGACCCTTTAGCTTCTCATTTTTCACAAGCAGTTCTGCACTGTGCACCATGGTCGTCTTTTTTCTCTCCCTGACTGCTGAATGGTGTTCCAGTGAGTGAATCATTTAATAATCATTACCCTAATGTAAGTCACTTACATGGTTACTCAGTTTTCCCAGGATGAATAATGCTGCAGCATGTTTTTATGGATATCATTGCTTCCTTCATTTGGATTATTTCCTCTGGTCAGTGCCCCAGAAGGAGATAGCAGGGTTAAAGGGTGTAAGTGCTTTGATGATCCTTGGCATGAATGACTATATTGTTTTCCGAAGTGTTTCCCTTTAAAAAAAAAAAAAATTCTACTAAGAAAAAAAAATACACATCTCTTTTTCAACCACATAAAAGAAAAGCAAAAAATTATACTACAGAAATTTCTACAACATTCGGATGACGGTCGTTCCAGACAGCTCGTGATGCATAGATATATATGTAGATGGAGAGATAAAAATAATTTTTTCACAAAAGAGATCATATTCCTATGCCAGTTTTGCAGACTCGTGTTTTTCTTTCCTTTTTTTTTTTTTTTTTTTTTTTTTTTTTCCAACTCAACACGTCCTGGGTTTTTCTAATTGGTTCTTTCAGCAGCTGCGCCCGGGTGCTGGGATGATGTCGTGGGAGACTTGCTATAAACCAGACGCTGTGCCCAGGACTTTACCTGAGTTAGTTTGTTGAGGCCCAACAAGATCCAGTGAGAGACTCTGCCCCTTTCACAAAGTCACAGACTCAAAGAAATTGCCCAAGGTCACATGGCCAAGGAGGGGTGGAGAGTGGTGCTCAAGCCAAATTCTTTGGATCTCCAAAACAGATGCTTGTACAAAGTAGTACGAGAACATATTTTAAGAACATTTTTGTTTGTTTTTAATTAGCTTTTTTATTGTGCCCTTAAAAAGAAAAAAATTTTTTAAAGTGACGATCCCTTACTGGTCCTACCTCCTGAGCACCTCTGAGCACCAGGAAGAGGAGAACCAGGGAGGGGTGGTGTCCACGGCATCCACTCGCACACAGAACTGAACAGACAAGCGCAAAGTCCGGATTGAGGTTAGAAGATGACAGCAGAGGACAGGAAGGACCGAGGGTGGGGAGTGGGGTACCCTCAGAAAATCCAGCCGCCCCCAGCTGGGCGCCTGGAGGGAGACATGGTTGGCTCCAAACCAAGAAGACAGAAGCCATTTAGAAGGGAGGGAGGAGGGCAGTAGAGGGGATGGGAGGGACTGTTTGGCAACTGGGATCAAGGGATTGCCCCCTCCACCCCCGGTGGGGCTGGTCTGGGGCTACCACATGCTCTAGGCAGGGGCTGGATGCAGTTCACTTGTGATTCATGTTTGAGCTCTTTGTGTTGCTGCTGGCTGCCACCGCCACCGCCACCACCGCCGCCGCCACCACCACCACCGCCGCCGCCACCGCCGCCGCCACCGCTGCCTCCTCCTCTTCTTCTTTTCATTCGTCTTCATATTTATTTTATTTTCTTTTTTAAAATAATTTATTTAACTTTATTTTATGTGCATTGGTGTGAAGGTGTCAGATCTCCTGAAATGAGAGTTACAGACAGTTGTGAGCTGCCATGTAGGTGCTGGGAATTGAACCCCCGGTCCTCTGGAAGAGCAGTCTGTGCTCCTAACCCCTGAGCCATCTCCCTAGCCCTTTATTTTTAATTATATGTTCCTGTGTGTCTGTGTGTGAGTATGTGCACATGAGCAGATGCCCCTGGAGGACAGAGGCTTCCGATGCCCTGGACCAGGAGTTAGAGGTAGTTGTGAGCCGCCAGATGTGAGTGCCGGGAACCTGACCTGGGTCCTCTGCAAGAAGAGTGCCTGCTCTTACCTGCTGTACCGCCTCTCCAGACTCCCCCAGGTTCTCGTTGATAGCATCCTTGGACCTGCCTTGATGGTCTCAAGGGGTACATTCTCAGGGGCCCAGAAGGTGAACACCAAGTCCTCCTTCTTGTTGTCCTTAATCTTGTAGGCTGCATCATGGAGAGTATGGTGGCAGTCCTGGTCTGGCTGCATCTTGACAAAGGTTGTGGGGGGTGGGGGTGAGGAGGGTATCCAGAGTCTGCCCTGTGCTGCCTGCTGGGGTCTCCATGCCATCCTCCCGGATGGTGTTTTTGTTCTGACTCAGGCAGAAGAACACTGACTTTCCTCTGGTGCAGATGGCTTGCACATCATTCTTTCATTGGACACTTTGGGGACACCTCAGAGACAGCCACCCGAGTGGTCGTGTTTCTGGAAGTGAAAGAAAGACAAAGAACAGCGGGAGAACTGAGCTTTTGTGGCTGCTACTGGGATTGGACCGTTTGGTTTTGGGGTTGGTTGGTTGACTGGGTTTGAGACAGGGTCTCATGTAACCCAGTGTAGCATCCACCTGTAGCTGAGGATGGTCTTGGATTTCTAATTCTTCTGTCTCCACCTCCCCAGTGCTGGGATTCTAGGTGTGGCCACCATGCGCCCTTGATGTGGTGCCTAAGATCATCTGAACCCCAATGCTTTGAATATGCTTGATGGCGTATATCAAGGCTTGTATGTGTATGATGGCAAGCACACCATCCATTGGACTCCATCCTCAGCCCTAAGCAATGCTTTCTTGATGAGGCTGGATGGAAGGTCTAGCTAGGTAGACAATGGCAGGCAGATAGATAATTACAAATATATTAACTCTGCCTTACTTACTGCAAATATTGCTTCTAATATTGTTTTATTTTGTTTGTTTGTTTGGAGACAGAGTCTCACTGTGTTGCTTAGGCTGACATTAAACTCAAGATCTTCCCGCCTCTGCCTCCCAAGAGCTGGAATTTATAGCCTTGCTTGTCTCAAAGCTACTCTTTTTATCCCTCATAAATTCTTACTCTTTTGGAAGTGAGTCTTCTAGAAATTTCAACTATATTTATATAGTTGAGTCCATCTGTTGTTGCCTTGTGACTTTTTCTGCCAGGCTCAGGCTCATATGTCCATTCTAACTCCAGAGACATGGCAGTGTTTAAGTTGGCTCTCTCTTCCCAGGAAAGGCTACTGTTGATGGATGGGTTCAACTGGGTCTGAATTCCCTTCTGTCGTTTCCCACCTATGTGACTAGGAAAGACTCTTCACTCTGAGTTCTGGGTTTCCTGGCTAGTGAAGGAATTGGACCAGCCCCAGGTCCTCCAATTTGTCTATGCATCAGGGGCTCCATAAGATGCATTTTCTTGCCTGCTCTGTCAGAGCCCAAGAATCCAGATTTCCAAACCTGGGAACATAGTCAGTGTTGTTCTGCGCCTGCCATACTACAAGCCCCTGCTCAGACCTGCTTTAGACTCACCGGAAGCCAAGATCTTCCATGGCTTCCTGCCCAGCCTAGGAGTAGTCAGTGAGTGAGAACAGCCAGCAGCAGCCGTGACTGCTGGGCTCCAGGAGCTGGTAGCCCTGCCTCTTCCTCTTTGTCAGAACCCCTACTTGGAGTACAGCCTGAGAAGCAGCCCTGATCACTGCCTCCTTGGCAATCCTGGGGACTGCCACAGTCACACTCCTGGGGGAGAGGCCAGTTACTTAGCAGCTGGGTCCTTTTAGCCAAGCCACTCATCCTTTGAGTCTGGGTGTGCTCCCTGATGAAAGCAGGAACAGGGCCTTCCTACAAAGCTGTTGAAAGGGTACCAGTGATGGATGGGTGGGTGGAAAGAGCCTAGAGCTGTTCCTTGTGTAAATGGGCTTGGCTCACGTGTGGAGGGCATCATTGTCTGTTTTCATCAACATTTCTAGCTGTAGGGGAGACTGTCCTGAGGTCTGTGGGCTGGGTCTGAGAATTCAGCTGACATAAGGCAGAATAATAGGAGGAAGGCATACAAAGTGATACCAGCTTAATGTGGCACAGGAGAATGCATACGAACCTGAAGGCCCAAAGACACAGAATTGGTTGGACAAAAGTAGTAAATTAGGAAAATGTGATAAGGCTAAGGGGCCATGGGTTGGAAGAACGAACTGGGTGGGAAGTAACTAGGAAGGTAAGGGTGAGTTGGGGGAGGTTTGTACAGGTTTCCTTGGGCCTCACACTCCCTTTCTGGGACAGAGGGGACATTTTTCAAATAAGATTATCCTTTAGAGACAAGGTCTCACTATGTAGCCTTGAATGATCAATCCTCCTGTCTCAGTCTCTAGAGTGCTGGGCTTACAGATGTGTGTACCACTGTGCCTGGCTCACACAGGAGTTTCATCTGTTTTCTCTTTTCCTCCTTGTGTTGAGGATGCACGCTCAGGTCTCATGCATGCTGGACAAACATTCTACCCCTGAGCTGTCTCCTCTAATCCCTCACCTGCTACTTTTAAGAACAAGGGAATTTGCATGCCTTTAATCCCAGCACTTGGGAGGCAGAGGCAGGCAGGTGTCTGTGAGTTCAAAGCCAGCCTGGTCTACAGAGCAAGATCCAGGACAGGCACCAAAACCACACAGAGAAACCCTGTCTTGAAAAATCAAAAAAAAAAAAAAAAAAAAAAAGAGAGAAAGAAAAAAGAAAAGAAGGAAGGTCACAGTGATCTTCTTGTGCCTGCTTTTTTTCAAAGGCCTTTACATGAAAACAGCCAAGACGTCAAGTAGATTTGGGGTCAACATGTTAATAACTTGCTCACTGTCCTCAAGCATGCCGGCCTTAGGGAATGCAGATCTACAGCTGGAATTCCTGGCATCTGACAACACACAGATCTGTCAGTTCCTTGTCACCAGGGACCCAGGGCTCCTGGAAAATTTTTCTTCCTGGCTCAGTGGAGAACTTGTCTCTTGGGGAGTTGAGAGGGTATATGACTGGCAGCCTCCAGGCATAGGGCACCTGCCCGTGTGACTCCTCACATGAGTGCTCTTCCCTTCCTCCAACAGGTCTGACAGGAATGGCCCCATTGCTCCAGTGACAGATCAATCCAGGCAGGGACCACCCTGCCTGATACCTGAGGTGCCTCAGGACATGCCTTTGCTTTACCTGAATCTCTGGACTTTGTCTCTTCTGGTTCCTTTCTAGAAACTTCAGGTTATTCTAACGCAGCCTGGGCCTGGCTTCTGTTTGGGGATATTTGGTCATACTGTATGAAAATGTGTCGCTGTTTTATTCTGATTGGTTTAATAAAGATCTGAATGGTCAACAGCTAGGCAGGAGAGGTTAGGCGTGACTCCAGGTTAGAATCTGGTTTGGGGCAGATTTCACCAGGGAGACTTGGAGCAAGTCAGACATAAAGAATGGAGAAGAGCCGGGTAGTGGTGGTGCATGCCTTTAATCCCAGCACTCAGGAGGCAGAGCCAGGCGGATCTCTGTGAGTTCAAGGCCAGCCTGGTCTACAAAGCGAGTTCCAGGAAAGGCGCAAAGCTACCCAGAGAAACCCTGTCTCGAAAAACCAAAAAAAAAAAAAAAAAAAAAAGAATGGAGAAGAGGTAAAGAGCCATGAGGCAAGATGTATATTAATAGAAACTGGTTAATTTAAGTTATAAGAGCTAGCTAGGAACAAGCCTAAGCTAAAGCCAAGCTTTCATAATTAATAATAAGTCTCTGTGTCATTATTTGGGGGCTGGCAGTCCCCAAAGAAAGTCTGACAAGGAAGACTGGCAACAGTCCTGGAACCTGACCAACTCACCCAGGCCTGAGTACTTTGCTGAGCTTTCTTGTAATTAAGACCCCAGGGAGAGGCCAGAACCCTGAGCTGTGGGCACTAATAAGGGCTCAAAGGTAGGCGGGGTCTCACCTTTTGGTCATTAAGGAAGTTGCCATGGAAATCCCCCTTCCAGTCTCCTTCAGATTAATAATAATGAACAGTAGGAGCCGGAGAGATGGTTCCTATGTTAAGAGCACATTCTGCTCTTCCAGAGGGCCTGAGTTCCATTCCCAGCACCCACATCTGGTGACTCACAACTACCTCCAGGGGAATCTGACGCCCTCTGCTGGCCTCCACAGGCATCTGCACTCACATGTACATAACCACCTCCCCAGCACATAATTAAAAATAAAATAAATGAAAAGATAGGAAGCCAACACAGATAGGAGGAGATTGATCCAGTCTAAAAGAGAAACAGAGCTGGGTGGTGGTGGCACACACTTTTGATCCCAGCACATGGTTGGCTCGTGCCTTTAATCCCACCACTAGGGAGGATCATGCCTTTGACCCCAGCACGTGGGAGGCTCATGCCTTTAATCCCAGCACTAGGGAGGTAGAGACAGGACTGTAAGGTGGGTGGAGGCAGGATCTCATGCCCATTCAATTGGAGGATTTGTAGAGACCGGATGCCCATTCAGCCTGAGATTTCGAAGAGGTAAGAAGTGGCTGGCTGCTCTGCTTCTCTGATCTAGCTTTTACTCTCGATATCTGACTCTGGGTTTTTAATGTTAAAACTAATTTGGATAATACTCTACAGTACACATAAAGGACTTATAAGGATGCTGAGTCCATGGTAAGCCCTGGAAATTGTTAGTCATTCGGTGTAAATTCCTCTAGATTCACGGGCTGCTCCAGAGAGGGACAAAGAAACATCATCGTAACAGGGTGTGGCCTTTAGAGATTATTTTATCATTTTTTTATTTATATGTTTTATGTGTATGAGTGCTCTGCCTGTATGTATATCCATGTGCCATGTGTGCCTACTGCCCTTGGAGGCCAAAAGAAGGTGTCAGTTCCCCTGGAACTGGAGTTAAAGATGGTTGTGAGCTGCCATATGGGTGCTGGGAATTGAACCTTGCTTGGGTCCTCTGGAAGAGCAACCAGTGCTCTTAACTGCTGAGGCATCTCTCCAGGCCTATGATTATTATTTCTTAACGATCTTGTTATTTTTTTAAATATTTATTTTTTATTCTTGTGTATATGTTCGGGTCTGCATGAGTTGGTGTTCTATGTGTGTGCAGGAGCCAGTGGAGGCCAGAGTTGGAATCAGAGGCCCTGGAAGTGAAGTTACAGGCTGTTGTGAGCTGCCATGTAGATGCTGGGAACCAACTCCTCTGCAACAGCAGTAAGTGCTCTTAACTGCTGAGCCATCTCTCCAGGCCTAAGATTGTTTTATCTTATTTATTTTGAGACAAGGGCTCATGTGATCCAAGTCTGCCTCTAACTGGCTGTATAGTTGAGAATGACTTTGAAATCCTGATCCTCCTGCCACCTCCACTCAAGTGCTAAGATTACAGGCCGACAGCACCTTGCCTGGCTTCTTATGGTAGTTCTTGCTACTGCCATAACAAATGCCCACAAGCTGTGGCTTAAGACAACAAATGCCTTATCTAACAACCAGAGGCCAAAGGTCTGTAGTGGCTAACTCAAGTGTCAACAGAGCTGTGTTTCTCCTAGGGGACTCTAGGAAGAATCTGTTCTGGCCTATCTAAACTTCAGTCTGTGGCTTCTCCTGGCCCTGGGCTACAAGGTGTGCTGGCATCGGCCAACAGCAACATCCCCTCTGACCCTGACTCTTCTCTCTCCCTCTTTAATGAGTTTGTGATGAAAAGGGTCAGTGGATAATCTGGGATAATCTTCAGATCCTTAATCACAGCCGACAAGTCCCTTTTGCCTTATAAGGGAACACATTTCACAGCTTTCTGCAATTAAGATAGGCACATCTCTGGGAAGTCTACAAGCTGCTTAAAAGAGAAATTCTAGTGGAGTTGAGTGTTCTGGGCCTTAACTATAATCCTTTTCATCTGTGCAGGGTTTAGAATCCTTCCATATGACACTTTTTTTTTCCTCCTTGAATTGATCCTGGGAAATCAATGAAGTAAGTACTGAGCCTTCACTGTAAAAGCGGGAACAGCACTCAGGGGAGGCCCTGGGCCAGGCCACACAGCTACAAAGAGACCCAGGTCCGGAGCTTTTATTATTTTGTCTCCTTAAATATTTACTCGTTTATTTTGAAGCAGGGTCTCAGTGTGTAGGTCGGGCGGGCCTGGAACTCACAGAAATTCTCCTGCCTCTACCCCCCAAGTACTGGGGTTAAAGGTATATGGCACCATGCCTGGCTAATATTTTGTTTCTAAAAAATAATACATTTTATAAATTTCATGTAGTTATGGTGTATGTGTGCGCTTACACACCAGGAGAGCTGAGGGCAGTCTGCAGTGGTCAGGAATTTCCTTTCACCACATGGAGTCCAGGGAAGGGACTCAGAGCCTCAGCCGTGGCACGCTTACACAATGCAGTTGAGAACGACTGTGTTAAGACCACAGGTACACCAGCTTTGTGCAGCATCAAGAATGGAAGCCAAGACTTCATGCATGCCAAGCAAGCACTCCACCAACCAAGTCTTACCCTCAGCCCCCAAATTAATGATGCCTCTTTAAAAAAAAAAACAAAAAAAAACAACAAGTACTGGAGATAGAACTTAGAGCCTAGTGCATGCTGGGCAAACACTCTATCACCATGTGATATCCTCTATATCACTATGTGATATCCTATGAGGATTTCAGAAGTTTTGATTCAGTTCCTCCACCCACAGTTCCCAGCCATTTGCTTCCAGAACAATGTGCCCTTGGTGCATCGGGGTGATTCCTCAGGTACCTAACAACCTACAGGATAAAGTCCCCCAAAGTGAGCCTGTTCCCACAGCCTAGATGTGTCCTCAGCAGTCAGCCTTGAAATCAAGAGGGTGAGATGTGGGCAGAAAAGCTGTTGTTTTTGGATTTTGTGTGTGTGTGTGTGTGTGTGTGTGTGTGTGTGTGGATACCCTTGGCCCAGAGCCCCAGAACTCAGTGTCCGTCCGTCTGAGGCGTGTCCTCCACAGCAGCTGAGGCTGGAACCCTGTTTGCCTGGAGCACTCTTCTTCTTAGAAAAGCCTTAGTGAGAATCTCTCATAATCACTCCAGTGTGGTTTATGGTTTTGCCTTGGGTGCTACTGCATGAGAGGAGAGCTCTCCCGGCCCCACAGATGCTGGGGGAAGCTGCCCTGGAACCTCCTGAAGCCTCTCTGAGCACCTCTCCGCCACCCTACCCACCACGATGGTCTTTGTGTGCCTTCCCTGTTCCAGGAACTGGGTTACATTGGATCTGAGCAGGGCCCTGTTCCCTGATGCATTTGCCTCAGTGGAAGGAGATGGGGCCCGTGGAAAGGCGTGTGACAAGGAATCAGAATTGATTTGTGGAGAGTGTGGGAGAGTCGGTGACAGCGATTTTGTGGCAGACAATGTCTCCAGCTCTAAAGATGGTAGTTCAGATAGGGGCAGAAGGGAGATATAAGCACAGGCTTTGACCAGGGGGTCCATGAGCCTCACCCTCACTCTAGGTGGCCCCCACAAAAGGATTGATTGTTAGGTCCTTCTAGCTCAAGACTGGAAGAAGCATCCTGGCATGGTGGCACTCATCTGTAATCCCAGTCCTGAGGAGGCTAAGCCAGAGTCACCTGTGGTTGGAGGCCAGCCTGGACTACAAGGCAAGAGTCAGCCTAGAGCCACATAGCAAGACCTTGTCTAAAGGAATTAGATAGATAGATAGATAGATAGATAGATAGATAGATAGATAGATAGATAAACAAATAAATAAAAGAAAAGGCAAGAAAGGAGTTTGAGCCTGTGAGTAGTGATCAGTATGTCATCTCTGAGGCCAAGTGAGTCCACTCTGGAAACAGGGTCCAGCTGTTTTCAGGGCTGAGCATACTGTAAGGTTCCCACTAAGCAAGGGTCCAGTAAGGAGGCAGTGGCCTGATGTCAACTTTAACGAGGGTGGCAACCAGATGTGAGACCAGCTGTGGAGAGCGAGTGAGCTCTGTGTGTGGGTGGCCATATGGAGGGAGGCAAGAGGATAATCAGGGAGTGGGGCAAGCGTCTGCAGAGACAGAAGTGGGGAGCCGGAGGGCAAGCCATCTGTGAAAGGCTTGAGGTCAGGCTACCCCAGCTCAGGCTTTGGGAAGTGACTGTCCCCGGGCAACTAATGATGCTGTTGGGTGGGTCTCTATCCAGGGAGGCTGTTTAGCCTTTGGAAAGAGCAGCTGACAAAATACTTTGCACTTGGCCGGGTAAAAATACATAGGGACATGAAGTAAGCCTTGACATCATCTGTCAATCTAGTCACCAGCTCCCCCTCCCTGGGTTGGAGGAATTTGCTCAGGGTTGCCACCTGGGAGGAGGCTGAAGGAGCCTCACCAGCTAAATGATGCTGCTGTGCCTTTAACTGGCACTTCCTCACTTCCTCTCTCTGGTCTTTGGTACCTGTCGTGTCACTGTCTGGGGTACCTGCCCCTTATCCTGTCTGCTGCACTCTTACTGGTTAGCCCCCCTCAAACTGTGTCCTCTACTGCTCATCTGCTCTCCTTCTGCAGGCCACATGACACACGTGATCACGTCTGCCCCTCTTCCCAGCATGTACAACCTGGTTGTTTGTTGGTTTGGTTTTCGAGACAGGGTTTCTCTGTGTAGCCCTGGCTGTCCTGGAACTCACTCTGTAGACCAGGCTGGCCTCGAACTCACAGAGATCTTCCTTCCTCTGCCTCCCAAGTGCTGGGATCAAAGGCGTGGACTACACAGAGAAACTCTTGTCTTGAAAAACCAAAGAAGAAAGAAGAGGAGGAGGAGGAGGAGGAGGAGAAAAGAAAGAAATATGATTAAAAGAATAAAACGTGCAGATGAATGGATAATCAAAGAAAATCAATGAAATGACTCAATGATATTCTGCTATACTCGTAGATTGGTGTCTAGCTCAGTCATCATCAGAGAGGCTTTCTCAGGCAGCTGATGGGAGCAGGTGCAAAGACCCACAGCCAAACATTTGGAGGAGAGCGAGCCCAGGTTGGAGGTCTCCACTGGGTCCCTTCCCTTAGGGTTCAGGGACCCCCAAGGAAGGAGGGAGGAGGGATTGTGGGAGCCAGAGTGGTCAAGGATGTCAGAGAGCATGCCCACAGAATCAACTCCACAGAGCTCATGGGGGCTCACAGAGACTGAAGCGACAATCACAGAACCTAAATGGGTCTGTGCTAGGTCCTCTGCATATATGTTATGGTTATTGGCTTGGTGTTGCAGTGGGTAGCCGTTCCAGCTTTGACCTTGAAACACTGCCCCTAGAGTGACAGCAGGTAACTGCCACACCTGCCTATGACCTGCCACCCGGGGCTGACCTGCCCCTGGGGCATGGCCGAGAGGGAGCCCCTTAAGACTTCAGATGGTACTCGCTTGGTCCCCCTCTGGATACCTCATGGTCCTGGAATCTGGATGGGAGACCAAGCCAGAGTTCTCTGCTGGATGGTACCTCATCTCTCCTGGATCCTGTAACCAACCACTATTGGCTGTAAGTTATCTCAGAAATAAACCTCTCTTGATTACCAGATAAATTACGTGGAATTGCCTTTTTAAATACAGTTATATGGTGTTTTTGTAGGGCTCCTGACAAGGGGGGGCGGTGTCTCTCTTTTGCCTGCTCTTGGGATCCTTTTCCTCCTACTGGGTTGCTTCGCCTAGACTTGATGTGAGTGTTTGTGCCTGGTATTATTGTACCTTGTGCCATGTTCTGCTGATGTCCCTTGGGAGGCCTACTCTTTTCTGAGGGAGACAGGGTGGGGAGTGGATCTGGGGGAACTGGGAGAAACTGGTTCTGGTGGGGAAACTGGGAGGAGTGGAGGGAATAAAAAATATTTTATTATTTACAAAATAAAAAAGAATAAGATAATTCACAAAGTAAGTTCAGAATAAACCTAATAAACTTGAAAACTGTTTAATCTCAATAAAAGTAAGTGTGCAGATGAATGGATAATAAAAATGTGGTATCCAGTAGAACATGGCTCAGCCATGAAAAGGAAAGAATTACCTGCTAAACAAAGTAACAGCAGAGAGTGTGAGATTCCATTGACACACAACATCCAGAATAGGCAAGCCATTTAGGCAGAAAGTAGTGTGTGGTTGCTAGAGTCTGGAAGAGAAGAAAACGTGTGGTGGGTGTGTGATTAGTGAATCCAGGGTTTCCTTCTGGAGAATGAACATATCTTAGAACCAGATGTAGTGCTCACCCAATGCAGTGACTGCACTAAATGCCACCAAACTGTGCAGGTTAAAATGGCAAATTTTATGTCACCCCTGTTTGGTCACATTAAAGAAAATCAAATGCACATTTCCGAGAAGAATTTTAACTTTGATCAGATTCTCAAAAGGTTAAGAAGCCCTGGTCTGATCCAACACTTTCATGAGGTACAGAGGGAGGGAGACCCATGGAAGGTCCCTTGGACTGGTGGCAGAGTCAGCACCCGCCCACTTGCCTGACCATGCACCGTGCCTTCCTCTGTCCTTTGATCCCACTGAAGCCTCCCAGCCAGGCTACCCACAAGCTGTGTAGCTCCACAAACTTAAAAGGCCTTCCAGAAGCTGGGTGAGGATTGGAGTTACAAGAATGTTTGTCTTTCTCTCCATGGACTCCCAAGCATCTAGAGTGCAAGAGGAGGCATCTCTCACTTTCCCCCATATTGCGTACAGCTTCTGAAGTAACCTTGGGAGTGAACGGTCCTGTCTCTGTTTAAGAAAGAACTTGTGTGAGTTCCAGGACAACCAAGGCTACACAGAGAAACCCTGTCTTGAACCGCCACCCCCAGAAGAGCTTGCTGTTTGCTTGGAAGGAGGGTACTTAGCTGACTGCCTCGGAGGACCCAGGACTGTTCTTTATCCAGATGCCATTGCTACCTTGACCTAGACTTCGTTAGATGTGCGACAGTGTGGGGTTCTCTTAGCTGACACATTCATGTTTTTTAAAGTTATACTTTATTCTTTTGAGATAGGATCACACCGTGCTGCCTAGGCTGCTCTGGAACTCACTATATAGCCTCGGGTGGCCTCAAACTCGACATTCTCTTGCCTCCTCATTGTTATTCCAGACACGCACCACCTGCTTAAGGTTTAGTTTTAATTGATGAGTGATCGTTGCATATGTTTATAGAGTCCATGTGATGTTTTGATGTCCTCCCCATCATCTTTCACTAGCTTGACTGAAAACACACACGAATCCCCCCAACACTGAGACCCACTCTCAGAAATTTCTGTTGTTTCCTGCCCGCTCCCTTTCTTGCTGATTAACCACACAACCATATAGTGAGGAATGCACAAATCCTCCCTTCCAGAGCACTCCCTTGTCCCAAGTTTAAAAAGACGTACCTGGAAAAGTGCTTGCCAGAGATGCTGACCACAGCAAAATCTGTATACCAGTCACTTTAACCAACCGGACGCTTTGGTTGGTTGTTTTGTTGTTGTTGTTTTGTCCCTTTTCTTTCTCTCCATTCTTTCGCTCTTAGTTTTTTTTCTTTCTTTTGTTTTTTTGTTTTTGTTTTCGAGACAGGGTTTCTCTGTGTAGTTTCGGTGCCTGTCCTGGATCTCGAGCTGTAGCCCAGGCTGGCCTCGAACTCACAGAGATCCGCCTGGCTCTGCCTCCCGAGTGCTGGGATCAAAGGCGTGCGCCACCACCGCCCGGCTTTAGTTTTTTGGGTTTTTTTCTTAACAGGATTTTATGTGGCCCAGGCAGCTCTAATGTCCACTGTGAAGCTGAGGAGGACCTTGGACTTCTGATCCTCTTGCCTTTACCTCCGAACAAGGGAGTTATGTCTTCTTTAGATCCACTGGTCCACAGCTCTCACCACCATGAGCATAGGATGGAGCGCCGCCACATTCCAGAAGGCAATTTTTTTTTTAAACAAACACTGCATAATTGAAATGACTGTCTGATACCTACATACCTTCTTTTGAAAAACTATACGGGCTGCGGTAGAGGTCGGTGACAGAACACTTGCCTAGGACGCAACGAGCCCCTGAGTTCAATCCCCAGTGTTGGAACCCACCACCATCTTTACCCAAGCTCCGAGGAGATCCAGCGCATCTGTGGTCTTCGTGTTTGGGGAGGAGAAGACAGGAGGACTAAGTTTGAGGATAAGATGGGTTTAAAAAAAAATCACGTCTTTAAAAATCAAAAAGAAAAACCGTGAGACTTCTTCCTTAGGTAGGTTGTCATAAAGGTCCCTGAGGGTGAGCCTGCCGGTTGGCTCCTGGAAGCTCTTTCTTTCCATTACTGCTCCTGTTCGCCGGGACTCCACAGTTCCTACAGCGGAAGCCAATCTCACCAGTGCTTGTTACCTAGGCCCCATGCCTCACTTCCATAAGCCTTGCACTCTTGCCGGCATCCCAGAGCCTGCTCCCTGGAGGGCCCAGGTAACAGAGCATCTACCTGGCGTGTCCTAAGTGCCCCCTAAGTGTCCCAGGGGTGGAGGGGGGCTGCTGCCTGGGTTGGAGTAGGAGGGCTGTCCTTGGAGCATGTATCAATTATGGGGAGCAGGATCTATAGGAGCTTGTAGTAAAGTCCCGGGCCTGGAGAGGGGCCCAATGTCAGAAACAAACCAGATAATTCCAGAATGCATTAGAGCCCTAGATTAAGAATAATAATAATTAATAATAATACAGATACACTTAGAAATTTGAAAAGCTGGGCAATGGTGGCAGAGGACTTTAATCCCAGCACTTGGAAGAGGCAGGAAGATTTCTGTGAGTTCGAGGCCAGCCTGATCTACAGAGTGAGTTCCAGGCTACACAGAAAAACCCTGTCTCAAAAAAAAAACCAAGAGAGAGAGAGAGAGACAGAGACAGAGACAGAGACAGAGAGACAGAGAGAGAGAGACAGAGACAGAGAAAAGAAATTTGAGATAACAGGAAAGGACATCTTCACTGGGGAGGGAACCAACGACGACATCTTTATGCAAAGACCCCAAGTATGGAAAAAATTAGGCTGGCTTAGGAAGTGAAGCCCCAGTGGCTGATGCATGGGCAGGGCAGATGACAGGAGCGTGGGGCAGGCAGAAGGGTCTGGAGCACCTACGACAGAAGTGGTCAAGGCGTGGTCAGCCGGGGGTTCAGGGAAACCTGAAGGTCGGCCAGCAAGTGGTGGCCCAGGGCAGGGGTATCTGCAAGGAGTCTGGGTAAGGGATCACACAGGGCAGCGGAGTTACTACTGTCCCTGCTCCAGCTACTCGGTCAGCTACTGCAGCTACCCTCTGTCCTACCCAGACCTGCTGATGACGCCTTGGAGCTCTCTAGCGCCTCCTGTGACGTCAGGAGTCTGACCCGGGCATTCTCCGGGTCTGCGAGCGAGCGTGAGGAGCCGCTTGCGGCGCGCGGGGTCGCATCCTGATGAAGAAGGCTAATGACAAGCAGTCCCCGCCCAAGTTGCTCGGTGGGTGCGCGCCCCCGCGCGGGGCACTGGTTGCTATGGACGCCGCGGCGGCCGCTTGCGGGCGGGGTCGCAGGGGGGTGCCGCGCTGCGCAGTCACCCTGGGGGCCGGACGCGCAGGGCCACGCTGGTAACCTAGGGCGGCACCATGAAGGCCCTCAAGAAGGAATCCCGTCTCAAAATTCCAACCAGCAGGTTCTTGGAGGCCGCAGAGAGCGTCAAAGGTTGGCGCTGGAGGCCTTGGGTGCTCAGGAAAACCCGACAGGGATGCTTGGGCTGGGGTTAGGACACTACAGATTCGAGGGAGGGTCACTGAGACTGTGGGGTACACCACACAGGGCAAAGGAGGGAGACGAAGCGCTCAGGACTTCGGTGGTGGTGATACGGCAAGTGAGGGACTAACAGAGGGACTTCAGGGGTCAGTGACAGGGGGACAGCCTTGGACAGGAGGAGTAGGCGACCTCCAACTCAATTACATTTTAGAGTGGTGCAGGGGACAGACTCCCTGGGTTGGGTGAGAGGTCCAAGAACCAGGGAGCACCTAACGAGGTTCTTGGGAATTGAAGCAGGGGTCACCTAAGAATCATGCTGGAGAAAAATCCACTAGTAAAAAAACGACAACGAAAACCCTAACTCTGTTGGTTTCAAGTGACATTTATTTCCTCTACCTCTTGGCCTTTCCAGCCTCATGGCAGATATTCAGTCTAACATGGACTAGTACCATGAATGTTTCCATTTCTCATTTGCAACCTACTCCCCTTAAAAAAATCCTGCTGGGGATGAACCCCAGGGGCCATGTGCATGCTAAGCAACTCTCTGGTACTGAGTTACCCCTTACCCTGCTTTTATTTACTGAGGTCTGTCATATGTGGACACCGGTAGGCACCTAGGTATCAATATTGTGTGACTCCAGTCCTCCAGAAACACAATCAAGCAAAGACCCAGAGGAATACCGAAAGACTTAGAAAAGCAAATATGGATGCCTATGGGAATTAAGGACCCTCAGAGCTTCTGAATTAGGCCTTGGTTGGGTGGACTTAGAGGGAAGGGTTTTCTGGAGTAGATGGCTTGTAGGATGGATTAAAGAAAAAGACAAATAAAAAAAAGGAAGGCTTTGCTTCTCTGGGTTTGGAGAGCAGTGTGAATTCGTGACTCAGTGAACGTAGGAACCAGAGGACTCTGTGCAGGTGTGCAGGGGCCAGACCATGAAAGGGCTTCCGGTGCAAAGTCAGAAAGTCTTGTTATGTGACCTTGCAGGCCCTGAGGGGACCCAGCCTCCGAGGCCTGGTGCAGCACACTGAAGAGGGGGGCGGGCCAGGAGGCAGTGGAGCCCCTGGGAGGCCCAGGGAACTCAAAAGACCCGAGTGGGTTTGTCTTTCTTTCTTTCTTTTTTTTGGATATGGCTTTTATGCTTCTTCATAGTATAAAAAAGCTGGTGCTGTTTCATGACATACTTTTAATAGTTAAGAGAGAAGGAGAGAGAGAAAAAAAAATCGGTTCCCTTTCCCAAGGGCAGCCAAGGGCTCTCCTAGCTGCTGCCTCGTGCTTACCTACTTTCAGGGTGATCTTAATCAGATTTGTACTCTCTGCTGTAAACAGATCAAGGAAGGATTTTTTTCACTGTGTATTTGTTTTTAATAAGGGAAGGATTCGATTTGTTAAATAGTCTTTGAGTTAAGAACATGTACCAGAGTGAGGGGTGGGGGTTGGGAAACAAAACCAGTGTTTCACATGGAAGGTCCCTTTCTCCTGAACTTTCTTAGAAGCCTCCCCGGTGTCCAGGCCACAAGTGTGATCTTGTAGTCTTGTGCTATGTGTCTCTGAGGTCTCTGATTCTTGAACATAAAGGCAAGCACACATGACTGGGAACCTGTTTAGAAACCTGAACTACCTACCCAGGCCTGTTGGTAAGCTCCTTGACCTTGTTGCTAAGCCACAAGTAGCACCAGCTGCCCCTTCCATTACAATGACAGCTCCTCTCTGGAAGGGACAGTTCCTGCCTTGGTTCCCTCAGCTCAACCCTGAAGTCAGTTTCCCCAAGACTTTCAGCAACACTGAGGAACAATGAATGACATTTGTTCAAGAAGTAGAAAAAAAATCAGATCCCCTCTTCTACCCGCTCTCTGGGTCCCCCTCTTCCTGACCTCCTCAATAACTCCTCTTGCCTTAGCTCCATCAGAGGTGTTGCCCGACTGTCCCACTCAAAGAGGCTTGTGTCTGACCCCTGTCAGCCCAGAGAAATGCCAGCTCCGTGGCTCACCAACAGCCCCCCCCCCACTCAGCTTGGGTTTCCAGAACAAAGCACATGGGCCTCAAGTTCAGTAGTGACACACCCCTACCCTGTGGGGTCCTCCAGGACACCCCGAACTGCCCCCAACCAAGGACTGGTCCTTCCTGCCAGGTCTGCCTTCAGTCTGTCTGTCTGTCTGTCATTGGATGGGTCATTCTGAAATGTCAGCACTCCACTCTCCTGTTCCAGGGGTCAGATCTCTGATCTGAATTTCATTTAATATCCATTACACACACACACACACACACACACACACACACACACACACACACACACACACAGAGTTAAGTTCATGCCCGAGAATATTCACTGAGCACCTTTGTTATTGTGGTTCTTTTGTTTGGGGATAAGGTCCCAAAGCCACCATGCTGTTTTCCCCTCATCCTGATCCCAGGCCCTGCTTCCCCAACAAGCTTCCCATGTCGTCAATGCCACACACACCTGCCACATTCAGCCTTGCTCACTCTCTGGCCTTACCTGTAATACCACTATCTGCAGGTCCATCTCTGCAAAGCATTTGTCCCTTTTCCAGCTCCTCCAGGCTGGATAGCTGTCCCTGCATTAGGGTCCTCAACTCTGCAACTGGCATAGTTATTCTTTGAATATCTAATCAGACCTGTTAGCATGCTTTCCACGCAGACATTCACATTAAGATCACTGTGTGTTTGTTTCCTTCAAGAGGAACCACATTGTAACCTCATGGACTATCTTCTCTGTCCTTTGCAGCACATAGAAGGTGCTTGGTGTGCCAGGCATGGTAGCTCACATCTGTAAAACCAGCACTGAGAAAGCTGAGGCAGGAGAATTGCCATGACTGTGAGGCAAGCCTGGGCTAGATAGTGAGTTCCAAGTCAGCCTGGGCTAAAAGGAGGCCCTGCCTCAAAAGAAAACAAAACAACAAAAGAAAGTGGATAGTCTCTAAGATGGACTTCACTTTAAAATGCATACGTCAGTTTAATGAATATTTAGTTAACCAGAGCAAGCCCCATCCCCCCGCCCAACTGTGTTGAGTGGCATCATTTATGGTGATGCACTCAAGATAGTTCAAACCTCAGACCAGAGCTTTCAAGGGCTGCTTCAATCTCAACCAATCAGGGTCTGTGTTGCTTGCTGAGCATGGTGGGAACTTTGGCCCCAGGAGTCTTCAACAGTGTTGAAGGTTTGTGTTTATATCTATCTACCAGTAATTCTATACCCATCGGTGAAAGGCACATCTGGGACTGTTTAGTCCCTAGGGAAGATGTAGACCGATCAAGGTGATGGGTAGAAGAAACAAACGTCCTGGAAAACATAATATGGAAATGCTTCTAACATTGGGTCGTCAACTGGCTGCAGTTCCCTCATGGGTTGCCACCTGCTTTGACATTTGTATAGAAGGGGAGAGAATTAAAAATTGGAACCCAAGCCCATCTAGATGGGGGCCAGTAATCTCAGGTGGCTGAGGCAAGAAGATGGCCAGCCTGGGCTTCAATAGGAAGATCCTGTCTCAGAAAGAAAGCTTGGGCATGACACACGCCAAAGGTGGTGTTGACACACACCTTCGATCCCAGCACTCGGAGGCAGAGGCAGGCCAGTTGAGTTTGAGGCCAGCCCGTTCTACAGAACAAGTTCCAGGACAGCCAGGGCTACACAGAGAAACCTGTCACAGGAGAAAAAAAAAAAAAATAGCCTGTCTCAAAAAAAAACCAAAAAAGAAAAAAAAATTCTAAATCAAAACCCAAGGCTGCATCTCCAGGTGTGGTGGAAGATCAGACCGAAATGGGGTCAGACTGCTCAGCTCTGCGTGTGTCTGTGTGTGTGCACTTAGTGCAGAGACACCGTGAGCTATTTTTCCTGTGGAGGAGACAGACTTAGAGTTATGTTTGGAATGAGTTTTTTTTTTTTAAACCACCTGCAATTTGGACATTTCCTTAAAAAAAAAAAAAAAAAAAAAAAACCAGTTTGACTGTGTAAACCAAAGCCCTGTGATGTTGTAGTGGTGTGGTCTCTGACAGATTAGAGAAGCACGAGATAAAACCAAAATGTTGTTCTAAACACCCTGACAGCTGAGTTTTGCTTCTCCTTTGATTCTTTTTGTACAGATGTTTACATCAAACCCTCCTCAGCTAGAAGGGGGAAAAGATGAAATTACCAACCAGAGGGTCGAGGTGTATGTACATCTAAAGGAGTTAAGCCACCTCTCTGGTGGCAGACAGAACGCGTCCTGGCCAGAGGGCCGCTGGCTGTCACTTCAGTGGCGTGAATTCTGATCACTGCACTTTTCTGCAGTCGCATGGGCCGCTGGTGGCATCTGGCGTCTCTGGCTGCAGTAGACCCTTAAATAATCTTGTCCTCAATCTTGGCCCCCTGGGCTGTTCCTGGCCCTGCCTGCCTCTGTCCTCAGGGTAGGCTG